CAGGGACAATCTATAAAAACAACGTCTTCACAGGCAACATGATGACAACTAATTCATATCTTTCAATAATCACTCTCAACATGAATGGCCTAAATGCTCCCATAAAACGGCACAGGGTTGCAGATTGGATAAAAAGACAGGACCCAACCATATGCTGCCTACAAGAGACTCATTTTGAACCTAAAGATACATCCAGACTGAAAGTGAAGGGATGGAGATCCATCTTCCATGCCAGCGGACCTCAAAAGAAAGCTGGGGGAGCAATTCTTGTATCAGACAAATTAGATTTTAAACTAAAGCCTGTAATTAGAGACACAGAAGGTGTCTTAAATCATTCTTAAAGGGTCTATCCAACAAGAAGATCTAACAATTGTAAATATCTACGCCCCCAACATGGGAGCAGCCATCTACATAAGCCAACTGTTAACCAAAATGAAGAGTCATATTGATAACAATATGTTAATTGTAGGAGACCTCAGTACTCCACTCTCAGCAATGGACAGATCATCTAAGCAGAAAATCAACAAGGAGACAAGACCTTTGAATGATGCACTGGATCAGATGGACCTCATAGATATTTACAGAACATTCCACCCTAAAACAACAGAATACTCATTATTCTCGAGCACACATGGAACTTTCTCCAGAATAGACCACATACTGGGTCACAAATCAGGTCTCAACCGATAACAAAAGATTGAGATTATTCCCTGCATATTCTCAGACCACAATGCTTTAAAATTGGAACTCAATCACAAGAAAAACTTTGGCAGAAATTCAAACACTTGGAAGCTAAAGACCACTCTGCTCAAGAATGTTTGGGTCAACCAGGAAATCAAAGAAGAACTTAAACAATTCATGGAAATTAATGAGAACGAAAACACATCAGTCCAAAACCTATGTGATACTGCAAAGGCGGTCCTAAGGGGGAAATACATAGCCATCCAAGCCTCACTCAAAAAAATAGAAAAATCACGAATTCACCAACTAACTCTACACCTTAAAGAACTAGAGAGAAAGCAACAAACGATGCCTAAGCCACACATTAGAAGAGAAATAATTAAAATTAAAGCAGAAATCAATGAATTAGAAACCAGAAACACAGTAGATCAGATCAACAAAACTAGAAGCTGGTTCTTTGAAAGAATTAATAAGATCGATAAACCACTGGCCACACTTATCCAAAAGAAAAGAGAAAGGACCCAAATTAACAAAATTATGAATGAAAGGGGAGAGATCACGACTAACCCCAAGGAAATAGAAACTATTATTAGAAATTATTATCAACAACTATATGCCAATAAACTGAGCAATCTGGATGAAATGGAGGCCTTCCTGGAAACCTATAAGCTGCCAAGACTGAAACAGGAAGAAATTGACAACCTGAATAGGGCAATAACCAGTAACGAGATTGAAGCAGTGATCAAAAACCTCCCAAAAAACAAGAGTCCAGGGCCTCATGGATTCCCTGGGGAATTCTACCAAACATTCAAAGAAGAAATAATACCTATTCTACTGAAGCTGTTTCAAAAAATAGAAACAGAAGGAAAACTTCCAAACTCATTCTATGAAGCCAGCATTACCTTAATCCCCAAGCCAGGCAAAGATCCCATCAAAAAGGAGAATTTCAGACCGATATCCCTGATGAATATGGATTCCAAAATCCTCAACAAAATCCTAGCTAATAGGATACAACAATACATTAAAAGGATCATCCACCACGACCAAGTGGGATTTATCCCTGGGATGCAAGGATGGTTCAACATTTGCAAATCAGTCAATGTGATAGAACATATTAATAAGAGGAGGGAGAAGAACCATATGGTCTTCTCAATTGATGCAGAAAAAGCATTTGACAAAATACAACATCCTTTCCTGATTAAAACTCTTCAGAGTATAGGGATAGAGGGAACATTCCTCAAGTTCATAAAATCCATCTATGAAAAACCCACCGCGAATATCATCCTCAATGGGGAAAAGCTGAGAACCTTTCCCTTAAGATCAGGAACACGTCAAGGATGCCCACTCTTGCCACTATTGTTCAACATAGCACTAGAAGTCCTAGCAACAGCAATCAGACAACAAAAAGAAATAAAAGGTATTCAAATTGGCAAAGAAGAAGTCAAACTCTCTCTTTTTCACAGACAACATGATACTTTATGTGAAAAACCCAAAAGACTCCACCCCCAAATTACTAGAACTCATACAGCAATTCAGTAATGTGGCAGGATACAAAATCAATGCACAGAAATCAGTTGCTTTCTTATACACTAACAACGCAACTGTAGAAAGAGAAATTAGAGAAACGATTCCATTTACAATAGCACCAAAAACCATAAGATACCTCAGAATAAACCTAACCATAGAGGTAAAGGCTCTCTACTGTAGGAACTACAGAACACTCATGAAAGAAATTGAAGAAGACACAAAAAGATGGAAAAATATTCCATGCTCATGGATCAGAAGAATAAACATTGTTAAAATGTCTTTGCTACCCAGAGCACTCTATACCTTCAATGCCATCCCGATCAAAATTCCAATGACATTTTTCAAAGTGCAGGAACAAACAATCCTAAAATTTGTATGGAATCAGAAAAGACCCCGAATCACCAAGGAAATGTTGAAAAAGAAAAACAAAGCTGGGGGCATCACATTGCCCGATTTCAAGCTATATTACAAAGCTGTGATCACCAAGACAGCATGATACTGGCACAAAAACAGACATATAGACCAATGGAACAGAATAGAGAACCCAGATATGGACCCTCAACTCTATGATCAAATAATCTTTGACAAAGCAGGAAAAAAGACAGTCTCTTCAATAAATGGTGCTGGGAAAATTGGACAGCCACATGCAGAAGAATGAAACTCGACCATTCTCTAACACCATTCACAAAGATAAACTCAAAGTGGATGAAAGACCTCAATGTGAGACAGGAATCCATCAAAATCCTAGAGGAGAACATAGGCAGTACCCTCTTTGACATCGCCCACAGCAACTTCTTTCAAGATACATCTCCAAAAGCTAGTGAAACAAAAGCAAAAATGAACTTTTGGGACTTCATCAAGATAAAAAGCTTCTGCACAGCAAAGGAAACAGTCAACAAAACAAAGAGGCAACGCACAGAATGAGAGAAGATATTTGCAAATGACACTACAGATAAAGGGCTGGTATCCAAGATCTATAAAGAACTTCTCAAACGCAACACCCAAAAAACAAATAATCAAGTCAAAAAGTGGGCAGAAGATATGAAAAGACACTTCTCTGAAGAAGACATACAAATGGCTAACAGACACATGAAAAAATGTTCATCATCATTAGCCATCAGGGAAATTCAAATCAAAACCACATTGAGATACCACCTTACACCAGTGAGAATGGCAAAAATGGACAGGGAAAGAAACAACAAATGTTGGAGAGGTTGTGGAGAAAGGGGAACACTCTTACACTGTTGGTGGGAATGCAAGTTGGTGCAGCCACTTTGGAAAACAGGATGGAGGTTCCTCAAAAATTTAAAAACAGAGCTACCCTATGACCCAGCAATTGCACTCCTGGGTATTTACCCCAAAGACACAGATGTAGTGAAAAGAAGGGCCGTATGCACCCTAATGTTCATAGCAGCAATGGCCACAACAGCCAAACTGTGTAAAGAGCTGAGATGCCCTTCAACAGATGAATGGATGAAGATGTGGTCCATATATACAATGGAATATTACTCAGCCATCAGAAAGGATGAATACCCAACTTTTACATCAACATGGATGGGACTGGAGGAGATTATGCTAAGTGAAATAAGTCAAGCAGAGAAAGTCAGTTATCATATGGTTTCACCTATTTGTGGAACATAAGGTATAGCATGGAGGACATTAGGAGAAGGAAGGGAAAAATGAAGGGGGGGAATCGGAGGGGGAGACGAACCATGAGAGACTATGGACTCTGAGAAACAAACAGGGTTTTAGAGAGGAGTGGGGAGGGGGGATGGGCTAGCCTGGTGATGGGTATTAAGGAGGGCACGTACTGCATGGAGCACTGGGTGTTATATGAAAACAATGGATCGTGGATCACCACATCAAAAACTAATGATGTATTGTATGGTGACTAACATAACATAATAAAATTTAAAAAAAATAAAAATAAATGTTAATCTCATCTAAAAAATACCTTCCTGAAAATATCTAGAATAATGTTTGAACAAATATTTGGGTACCATGACCTAGCCAAATGGAATAGAATTAACAACCACAAGCAGTAAGTAAATATTCAAGCACATTTAATTGGATTATAAAGTTGTCTCTTTGCACTGAGACAGTGAATTTATTTATTGAGTGTGCAACATAAATGCTTTGACTTGGTTTGTTTAAGGCTACATTTAATATACATAAGAGTGATTTGTTCTCTGTGAACCCCAAAGCAGGATCTGGCCCTACGTATGGTCAATGAACACCTTAAAGTTTTGTGATAGGTTGGGTTTTGAAGGTAGCCAATTTGTCTGGATTTTTCTAGGACTTTCTCAGTTTTGGTGCTAAAACTGCACTTCCTCAGAGACTCCCCAGGACACCAGTCCCCATAGTGTGCTCAGCTTAAAATTCCCTTACTTCCCAAAAGGAAGAAGGATTTAGGGGTGGCTTGTGCTGGCAATAAAATAATTTATATTTGAACGTGTGTGAATTATTTTATAATGCTTTCCACTTTCTCCTTGGAAAGAATCCTAAAACAAGCAAAGAGGACCAGCAATGGGACGTTGCCTCTGGGTGTCTTAATCATTTGGTGTGGCTAACTGGGGACTTCATGAAGGACAGTCTCTCATCCGAAACAAGGTTTAAGCTCACTTGTTTGTTTCTGTGGCTCTGAGGACAAAAGTCAGAACCTCTCTAAGGAGGTGGCTGCCCTGGTAGTGGACATTAAACCAGGCCTGTGATTGGTCCTGCCCTCCTCTAGGTCATAGGAACCCCAGTGACAACACAGGAGTGGGTCCGCCAGGTGGCCAGAGCCCTCCTGTGCAGACACATCATTCCACCTTGGCAAAGATACACTCTGTCACCCACATATGACATTTGATTGCTTCCCGGATCTATGGACTTGAATGGTATGTAGAACAAAGTTCAGGATTCTAAAAATTATTGTGAGCCATAGAGTTCCTGAATTTGGGGAAAATAGTTGAGAAGAGAGACGGGAGGATCCCACCTCCAAGTGCCCTGAGACCAACTGCCCTTTTATTTACTTTACATTCTGGGTGCCCACACCTGGTTTTGTTTAATGACAATAGTCTCTATATTGCTAAGCTGTTTGAGAAGAACAAAAATATGAGATACAGAATATTTGTAACATTTACCCATACAGATATGATTATGAATATTTTAAACCATTTGAGTGATGAAATGATCCTATGATGCAATATCTTAAACCACATCAATATTTGTGTCCTTTTCTCTCATTTCCAAATATAGCATTCCTCCACCCCCCTGCCTTTTTTACATTTTAGGGTTGAGAATTTGAATGGTTAGGTTCACATTCCAGCTCTGCTCTTTTCTAGCTTTGGGACTGTGATGAGTAGATTGGAGTTACTCGAGCCTCTGCTTCCAAGGGTATAACATGAGTGTAATAATACTGACCTTCTGGGCGTCATGAGGATTAAAGGAGGCAATGCACATAAAGTGCCCAGCATCTAGTGGCTTCATAAATGGTAACTAGCGTTCTAATAAACTGACCTCAAACCTTCACGATCGAGCCCTTGCATACCTCTGCAGTCTACTCTCTCACCACCCCCTGACAGTGCCCCCCCATTCTGGCTTGAACTGCCCTCCAAGTCCTGGTAGGGCCTTAACTGACTTCCAGGATAAAGAAATTAAGGAGTTTTCTGAGGTTTTGCTATGCGTTGGGGAAGGGTGGCCAAGGATGCTCAAAGTATGAATCTATCACACCAGTCTGTGCTTCAGATGCATGACTCTCATCTGCTTGTGTCTCATATTCTTCAGCAGACTCCCCCAGGATTCAATGCTCCCCCACGCTTCAGCTTAAGAGTGACCTTAAGTCACCTCTTACTTCTCTCATCTAGGTTAAGGGCCCCTCCTCTGCATCTTACCACAGAACCCATGAGCAGCACTATAAATGCGTGCTTTAACATTTGACCCCTCACAAGTCCATTGTAGCAAACACATTTCCTTGATGGTGTCTGTATGACCACAGCCTATTCCACAAGCCTATTCCTACTCACAACATCTGGATGGCCATCTCTGTACAGTGTGACCCTCCAATCCACCAATCTACCCCTCCCCAGTCAAAACTGGAATAGTTACGAGCCCCTGACCCAAGGTCTCTGCTATGAATTATAATCTATGACTTGTCACCTATGGTGGTGGGTACAGTCCTATTTGTGCATCACCATCACCCCTGAAACTTTAAAACAAATGCATATGCTATGCTTTCATTCCCAAAGATTCTGACTCAGTGGGTCTAGGGTGGCCCCATGTACTGGTAGTCTTTTTTAGGTCCTTCTGGTGATTCTGATAGGCATCCAGGAAAAATGGCCCTCTGAGCTAGTAGCATAGAAAGAAGAGCTGGTCTAAATAGATTCTATCGCAAATTTGAATGACAAAAAATGGAACGAACTTTACAATAAGGAGTGCAATGGAAAGTGACAGAATTTTGTGGGATTGAACAAGGTTATGGAATGGCAAAGGCCCTTGTCATCTGAAGGTACTGGGGAGCAGAGTCCATGTGGATGGTGAAGAAGTTGGTCATTAGAGAGGAGAACAGAGCTGATGGGTAGAGAGAAGCCGGCACCACAAGAGACAAGAGACAAAGACAGAGATGGAGAGTCACAGAGAACAACAGGGCTAGGCAGAGAGATGGGGCAGAGGTGGAGAAAGGGAGAGACTGAGAGAGACCAACAGGCAGAGATACAGAGAGCCCGAGCAAGAGAGAACCCTCCTTCAGCACAGCTGTCATCAGCCTACTCCCCCAAACTAGAAACCTCTGTGGACTTCTCACTCAGCATTGACATCCAGTCAATTCCACCTCAAAAACAGTCTCTGAAATGGCTTTTCCCCAATAATCCTGTGGCCACTGCCTTAGTCCCAGTTTTCATCAGCACTTGCTGAGAGTTCAGCAAAGCCCTCCATCTGGCCTCTCAAACCCGCCAGCCCAGGTCTATCCCCAGCACCGTCGCTAATCACACCACCTCCTCCTCTCTATCTGAAACCACAAGCCGTCCCCGATTCGGCCAACCTGCCTTACTGTGTCTACAAGGTCCACCCTCCCACAAATCTTACACCCCTTCCAAGCAAATCAGGCCCTTGCCTTTGTAAACGCAGTTCCCTCCTTTATTTGTAGCAATCATCCACTTGATCTTCAAAACATAGCTCAAAAATCATCTCGGCGATGCCTTCTCACCTCCTTCAGAAACTGTGAGCTTATTACAAAGCTCCTACCTTCCCCATTACACCGTGAGCTCTTTAAAGAGAAGGACTCTTTTCTTTTTTTTTTTTTTAAGATTATTTATTTATTTATTTGAGAGAGAGAGAGAGAGAGAGCAGAGTGAGTGAGAACATGAGTGGGGCGGGGGGAGGCAGAGGGAGAAGCAGGTTCCCCACTGAGCAGGGAGCTGGTCACAGGACTCCATCCCAGGACCCTGGGATCATGACCTGAGCCGAAGGCAGATACCTAACCAAGGCGCCCCGAGAAGGACTCTTTTCCACTGATCTCTGACTTCCCAGGGCACGGGAGGCACTCTGTAAATGTGTTGTCAGTGACTGAATTTGAGGAATTGCAGGTAATGAGAGAACAAGAGTTACAGAACCAGCCTTGTGTAGCACTCTGCATCCCTGGACTCTGCTCCTGGATTGTCAGTGTCTTATCTCCATCCACGTTTACATCCACAGAGCCTCTGGAAGCTCCCATCAAGTTTCCCCCAAAGCTCCATGGAAACCTCAGCAGAGGTTTCTCTGGAGGTGATAGTTCCGGGATGCAAAGAAGAGAAGATGGGGTGAAGCAGCCATTTGTCCATATAGGTATTTGGACTGCCTACATGCATATAAGAACAATTTCCCTCTTTTTTACTTGGAATCCAAAGAAAATGCCTAAAGGAAATATGACAGCTTAATTTTGAAAAGGGAGAAGACAGAAATGTGAATGAACTCATTCTCCATGACCTGAGCCACTTATAGCCTCCAATAAAGCTTCTGGGAGGGGGAGGGGTAGGAAATCTGAGTACATTCAATGTTGAAAACAATCCTATTGATGCAGAAATGCACATACAAAGAGTGATTTCTGACCAGCAAAATTTGCATAATTACATAAAATTTACTTCGCATATTTTGTCCGCTTTGACAGTGATGACAGATGAAACAAGGTTTTTGCTCACTGCCGGAAGCTCAGTGGCATGCATCAGGGTGATTAACTTGGAAGTTTCTAGTGGATAAGCATGATTCTGGGGCTTATTGAATGTCACTTCAAGGACTCTCATGAATCCTAGTTCTTCCATTGGCTGAAAAAAATACTTGAATATTTTGAATTATGTGCTAAATGTTTTCATTTTGCTCGTGACTCCCATTTGAGTCACTTGGCATTCGATGGAAAAGGAGTAGGGGCAGATCTCTGCCAGCTGAAACGAGAAAGGCTAGTCTGGGCAGAGCATTTTGTAGGGTGCAGATCTGAGTGTAAGCCAACTATTTTTAAAATCCTCATTCTTGTAAGCTAGCTCATGGCCTTTCCATAAAGGGTGAGGAGATTCCAGAGGTACGTATTTGCCATCTGGAGTGGACTGCGCAATTCATCTAGAAACCTGCATCACCGTGAACTTGAAATTAATCACAGTGATGAACAAGGAGAACATGCTGGGACAGAGAGGTCAGTTTCATTTGATAAGAATGGAACACATGGTCTAGCTGGGAATGTGCTGACATTCATTACTTTCCGGAAAATTCTACACAGCCTCTCCCTCTGGGATTCCTGGGAAAGAAAAGAGCTCCCTGTGAGGCTATAACAATGAGACCCCCCTCAAAGCCATGGCTTTTGATGGTGTCCAGAATCACAACGATCCTAACACGGTCAGATGCTGCTCTTTTTCATCCTGCGAGGGGAGACATCTCTCCATCCACGCCTATGAGGTTTCCTGTGTTTGCTCAAATCACGTCAGAAATAGAATGTCTAGTTTGTAATCAAGCACCAAAGTTGGAGCCGTTTACTACCAAATGCATGGTTTTAATTTTGAAGCTCTCTGCTCCATTGTTCTTTAGCACCGTGAAGGGCTTGTAACTCTGCTAACTGGGTCTCCCACTTTGGCTTGGGAAACCTAGAGCAGATCTGGCTTAAATGCCAAGCAGCCTAGAGCCAATTTTGTTGGATTTTGGATGCTGCTATTATTTGTTTTTGAAAGAGGCATGGACAGAAAAGAGTGCAGTGGGGATGGTATTTGAAGTTTGCTTTTGGTGTGTTAGGGAAATAGGCACCTATCTCTATAAAAGAGAGTTCCTTCAAAATGTGAAAGAATTCCCCACTGTGTCAACTTGGCTCTTGAAACTGAAATGTTGGGGAAGCAGTAAAAATCTGTTAAGCAATCATAGACTTCAGGGGGTAAGAGAAGACTTGAAGTCATCAGCTCGAATTCCTTGCTTCAGTAAGACCACAGTCCGTAGTTTCCTTTTGCACTGATGCAGCCTGGAAGTAGGTATTGTGGATGAGTCTAAGTCCTTATACTTCTCTGCTTCTGTTTCTTAGAACCCTCATTCACAGATTCTATTCTCATGTCTCTGAAGATGGCTTTTGAATCTGTATGTGCCCAGGAATTGGCATCAAACAGGACTGGGTTAAATTCACAACTTTGCCCCTTAACTGCTGTTTGACTTTGTATAAGTTACTTGAACCCTCTGACCATCAGTCTCCTCATCTGTAATATGGGGATAGTAATAACTATCTTGCAGAGATTATTTTAAGACTAAATGAGATTATGCTATTTTCCCTATTTGGATAATATGCACAACTCTTTTTAAAATAAAATAATTATGGGGTGCCTGGGTGGCTCAGTTGGTTAAGCATCCAACTCTTGGCTTCGGCTCAGGTCATGATCTCAGGGTCATGAGATCGAGCCTCCAGTTGGGTTTCGTACTTAGCACAGAGTCTGCTTGAGATTCTCTCCCTCTCCCTCCCTCTCTGCCCCTCACCCTGCTCATGCTCAAGCTCGCTCTCTCTCTCTCAAATAAATAAATAAAATCTTAAAGTAAAATAATTATGTGAAATGCACTGCTTACTAAAATTACTTTTATCATAGTGTTACTTCAGTATATACATATAAAACTAGGTAAAAATTCCTTAGGATATATACCCATCCCTACTTCCCACTAGGTACAACACAAATTTTTAAAATTAAATTTAAATGAAAATATAATCTATAAAATTCAAATTAAAAACACAAATATAATATAACAGATGCTTTGCTGAAATTAAATGCATTTACAATGTGAATTTGATCCAGTTAAGCAAAGGTCCATTTGAGTTCCGTGAGGCTATAACATCAAGTTTCATGGCATAAGTGTCCCAGGAATTCAGTTCGTCCCCAGAGAGCTCTCTCGGCCTCTTTGCCATGACGTGATGTGTTGCCAGGCATTTCTCCATCCCTGTCCGAGACTATTGCTTGGGCTAAAGAGGGATCTTATTTACCCAGCTCCCTACAAGCCCAGACAGGGCCACTGGGGACCCTACCAGGCCAAGCTCAGCCAGAGGGAAATTTCATTTTGGTGTTCAGTTGTGAAGAGTCTCATAGACACCCATTCTTGAGCAGGCCAAGCAACTCACACCCTTTAAAATGCACCGAGAAATCTTCAACAGCGGAGCTATATGTTAGCGTTATCTTTTAGGAGATTCAGGCGGAAGTTTTGAGGATGGGTGGAGTGGCTGAGAATGAAGTTAGAGGAAGACAGTCGGGCCATCAAAACACTCCAAACTCATGAGCTTGACATTCAGAACACCCCAACACTCACTGTTCACTGGCTTTATCCACTTCTATTTGCCGATCTGAAGTTTGGCTCCTGCCAATACACCTCGAGTTACCTGCCTGAACATAGTGTTTTTCTGTCTATATGGCTTGTACTCACACCTTTCTCTTCACTTATAATGTATTTTCCTGGCCCTTATCCACAAATCCCAACCCCACCAATTAGAGTCCATCTTCTCCACCAGTCTTCCCTGGTTTGTTCAAACTACCTGATATGAACCACAAATTACCTGTATGGAGGTATTTTTGTTCAGTATTAACATTTGTCTCTTCAGCAATTGGGAACAAATTTGATGGCAGGGAGGTGTCTTGCACAAGACGACATCTCACCTGGTTTTAACTTATTACAGCTCATTTACTGTGGGTTCTCAGCGATTTACTGAATTAACAGAGGTATAAATAAACCACCCAATGATTTATCTTATGGACACCTGCCTACGGTTATAAGGATATTATTTAGTAACTGCTTAAAATGTTTTACATCAAGTTCATAATGAAAAGTGAGAGTTCACTTAAGCTTGTCAGAGATCTGTAAATAAATTTTTTAATGAGTTGTTATGTAAGAGAACATAGACAATAACTAAAAGCCACAGAAAGTGAGAAAGATATAGAAATAGGGTTGCAAGAATAACAGTTTGCTGATTTATAAGAAAAGTAAAAATAGAAATGAACAGTGAAAAGTCTGAAATAATCTTTTCTCCGTATGTTTTGTTTCATGTTTATTTTGCTCCTGACTGTGAAAAAAACAAAATTGTGGGTAAAAGACAGCACTTTTGGTTGGTAGAAGCAGGGCACTGGTTAGCAACATATTGAAACTGTATAAAGCAAGACATTTTAAAAAGTCAGAAATCTGGGATCTACAGACGAGGCTGGAATGATACTTTCAACTGTAAGTTAAAAAAAAAATAGGTAAAAAATGAGCCAAGTTGTGATTAAAAGAGCTGTTTAAGACATTAATTTTTCTTTGAATTTTTGTCCTAGCTTGTATCAGATCTTCCAAGCAATGGAGAAAGTAATCAAGACTTAGTTACATCCTAACTGTTATTCTTTTGATAATTTTTAAAGTAGAATAGTCAGTACTGATGAGATCATAATCAAAATGCTCCCTGATGCAGCTGTTCTCGCTGGGGGGGAAACCTTCACCAACTGTTCATCATTTTTATTTTCTTTACACATATTAAGATGCCTTGCAAAAAGGAGGCATTTAAGAAGTGATTGGTGAGTGAGTGAATGAGTGAGTGATGAATGAGTAAATAATAACATGCAAAGCAGTCATCTAGTGAGAGCCCTTTGTCTTAATGGAACTAAACAATCTTCACAGGCCCATGCTTGAAAATTCAACTTTTTAAGGAGAGAAACCAGCATAGCATCTTCGACTGTCTTAATGCCCTTGGTTTTAGACCCCTGGCACAAGCGTGGCCCCAGTTCTGGTCTCTACCTTCATTACTCTACATTTGAGAGCACAGTCTTGTCCTGGGTCCTCTGACTTTTGGCTGTTTGATCTGCAGCACCAGCCCCAGCTCTGATACTCAGCAATAGCTCGCCCATCGTTTGTCAATAGATTCAAATATTAGACTGGTCTGGGGGAAAATGTAGCTCATGTAAAGTCAATACCTCGTTCTAGTCACATTATTCACTGTGGCAATTTTTCCCCTTGCTATACAAGTTGAGCTTACAGGTCTTTAATTTTCAGAACGAAACCTTCTTCCCTTTTATTATACAACCATTTTATGTTGGCTCTTTTCCCAGTGTGCTGGCACTTCCTCAGTCTGCCACGAATGTTAAAGAATAACAGATGTAACCCTGCAAACCTTCAACCAATTCAGCAAGTTCACTGTGAAGTAAGTCATACTCCTTGTAGCTTTGAATACAGCTTCTTTATAAACAATCTACTGTCGGTTTCTGGTTCTCTTTCGGGGGCCCTCTGTCCTTATTTCTTCTCCATAGTGTGGTACTATATTGATACTCTATCAGTCAGGCAATAACTGGTTGCTTCTGATAGAAATTCATCTGCAAGTTGCTTAAAGGGAGAAAAAAAGGGACTAGTTCCCTAGGTTAAGTGGGGTGTCCAAGGGTCCAGGGCTTTGGATACAAATAGATCCATGGACACACGTTGTCCTTATTCAGTAACATCTTCCGTAGATAAAAGAGGCCACTGAAAATTTCAGGTTTCCATGGTCCTTACCACTCAGCATTCCAGAGAGAGTCAGACCCCCCACCATGGGTCCAAGAGCCTAGGTCGCTATGAGGAATAAAACACTGCCGGATGGAGACTTCTATGTTCTTCACAACAAAGCCCAAAGTGAAGTGGGAATCTAGCAGCCAGTCTGGATAATTCTAGTCTGCCATCCCCGAATATTATAAAGTCCACTTTGAGAATTTGAATTAGCTATGTATTTGAACTTAAAATTATACCCAGGAACAAGGTAGACTCTCTAGGTTGTATAAAGACTAAGCCTCAGGGTGAGAAACCAAGCATTTCAGCTGTGCTATTGAATAAAGTCAGTCAGGTGAATAAGCAAGGCTGAACAATAGCCCTTTCTGAGCCAGAGTTTACACAATGCACTACACAGCAAAGGTGACAAACCCTCCAGACAGGAGGACTCTCTAGGACTTTTCTCTGTGTTGGCCTTGTCTTGTCAAGGTGTTCTCGGTAGTAACCTGACCTTGAGTTTGGGGCAGGCATAATTTACAAGAGTTAATTATCTTCCACCAGACAACATTTACTCTATTGGGTATCTCCAAAGAGAAGAGCAGCACTGTATTGGAAGCTCCCACTGAAGGGAATTAAATAGGGCATGAGTGCAGCCAACTAAAACACGTTCGGTGCTCGGTCAGTATTGCTAGAGGAGACAACGAAGTCAGTGTAGTTCTTACTACTTGGCCATTTGCCTTAAATAGAGTGTTAGATTCCCTATCCGGGGATTCTGCCCTTTGCTGGAAACATGAGGTGACTGGATGATCTCATTGTTTTTTTTTCTCCCTTTGCCAACCTCTGTATGAAATCCATTGTTATCATTATTAAGCAATATTCAGTGGCTTTCTCTGGGAATGGCACAGGAAGTTAGGAATATACAGGGAATATAGCCTGCTGCTATGATGTCAGCTTTATTTTACTTTAAACATTTTTGAGGAAAGCCCAGGTAAGCCAGACATCTGGTTTACAATGGGGCAGTATTGCAGAGCGTGGGCAAGAGGACAAGACACTTACGGTACACATCACCACCGTGCAATCATGTCAGAGTTTCGTGTTCCGTTTGATACGGCCACACACGACAAACTCTCCTCCCTGCATCTGCAGGCTGAATGCCATTGAAAAGGGAGTTTGAATAGACAGCTCTTCGGTATATTACCGTGGATCTCCGTATTTATGAGAATGAATGCTATTTTGTGTAATAAATGGTTATTAATCATTTACATCATAACAGCACGGGTTAAAGATTACTATTTCTCTTCTAATTTCCTTGTGAATTTTTCTACCCATTGTTGCGGATAAGGAAGGGAATGCAGAGGCCTTGCCTTTATGTAAGAAATGAGTTGGATTTTTCGAGAAACTTCTCTGGAAAAACCAGCCAGCCAGCCAACCAATAAGCAGTAATGGCTCCAGAATTTCCCAAAAGAGAGAACTTAAAAGTGGCAGCTTATTTGGAAGGGATCACCAGAGGACTTGTCTTGAAGGTGCATTTGCATACGGAGTACACCATCTTTACTTAGATGACACATTTTGGCGGGTGATATGGCGAATGTTGTAGAGAGCAAGAGATGCTGGATATCTTGGCATTACCACTGTGTGCAAAGTTGACAAACCTAAATAAATAAAGTGCAAAGAAAGGTTTTATCTCAAATGACCAAATTCCTGGCTCAGATTTCACCTAGATATGAATCTAACAATGTCAGTATTCAGGTATTCAGGTTAAGCAAAGCCCAGAATAAATCCCTGTAATCTTTTGACTTTAGTATTATTGTTCACATTCCCCTCTCCTTCCCCCTACATCCATCCTGGTGTGAAGTACTATCTAATACTTTGGCCAGAGCCCTTTCTGATCCAGAGCCACAACTAGCTCCATGGACACATGTTGTCCTTATTCAGTAACATCTTCCGTAGATAAAAGGGTCTAGTTTATTAATTCTGTAAACCCTGTGATAGCTCAGGAACAAGACCATTATACAATCCCAAATGACATAAGCTTAGAGAATAACACTCCTCTGGTTTAAATGCGAAAGGAGCTCAGAAGCCTCCATTTTTAGTCTCCCTGTGAGTTGGCTTCCCTGTGAGAAGAGTGCCCTCTGGTGTTTGGTTAATGTTCTAGCCTCCAAACGAAGGAAAAGAAAATCTTTGCAACTTGACCAACAGAGAAAGATGTATGTAATAGGACCGGCTGTCCTTAAAATAGCACTTTTCCATTAAAAACTGTGCTGTTTCTTGTGTGTTAAACTTTCCCCCTTTGGCCTAATCGAACATAAAACTAAGCAGGAACTTGGTAGTCCACACAGAAAGATCAAGGCAGGCAGTAACCCAACAGGAAAGACACACATTTCTTGCTCCTCATTAACAACGACTTGAGAAGGCAAACAATTCTTAAGAGAAAGAAGATGACAACCCTTCATTTTTAAGATTTAGTTCCTTTTTTTCACTCAGTGGAACTACATACATAGGTTTGCCTTCCTCGGGTCTGTGGAGGCATCTAATTTAGTTTAGTTTACTTTAGATGGTTTTTGGGCCGCACAGTCCTCAATAATTTCTATATATGTAAGAAAGAAGGATTTACCCTCCTCATGACAGTTTTTTCACAAATTGTTTGTTACCAGTGGTTATTTGCTTTGGGTTTTGTTTTTGTTTTTTTCTTGTAGCAAGGAATTCCAAGCTGGGGAAGTTCTGCTAGAGGCTTTTTCTGTAAAGATGAGTCATAACAGCCCTCCCAGTTTCCAGATAAGGATACTAGTATGAAATGTTGGTGATAAAACTAAACATGAAGCTGAAGTTCCAACCAATTAAGTCTGCATCTAGTTGCCTCATTCTTTTAAGAAGATCAAACTAACGAATGAGAAGAGGAGAGAAAGTAGCTGTTCTTGTTCACATCTTCCAGAATACTCGCCTTCATCCTCTCTTGCTTTATAGAATGATGTTTGCCTTGATTCTCCTCTGTCTCTCCCTTCTCTTTCTCTCCTTTTTTGGGGGACCCCGAGAGATAATGTAGCTAGCGTGTACCAGGGTTAGGTCTAGGAAATAGTGCTTTAGAATGAGAAGGCAGGAGAGGAGTTGTCACATTTACAGATGTGCATTATTTGCTTAGAACAGTGTAAGTTGACACTGTGTTTTGTGGGATGTATGTGGGGGTGCGGGTTAAATTTTTTAAACTATGCCAACAATTGAGATTCAGTTTTTCCTTAAAAATCTTGATTTGCAGCTTCTCCTAATTTTCCAGAGAAATAAAGATTTTCAGGTGCCTGTTAGCAAAGTTCTCCACAAGCCCCTTATCTGCCTGTTCCAAGAGGCCTCTGAGTTCCCAGCGCTGGCTTAGGGCCATCCTTCATCGGAGGGCGTCTGCTAACAAAGAGATGACTTGCTGTGATGTTGAACTTCAGAGGGGTTCTATCCAAAGCCCTATCAGCTCCATCTTGCTCACCTACTTTGCGCCTTCAAACCATAAAATTAAATTTCATTCTGTCCCTCCCCAGTCTTTTTTGCCACAGCTGCCCAGTAGAGCAATGTTTGTGGTTCACAGATGTTGCACCTTCTAACATCTCCCCCCAGCTTTTCCCTATAGTGACTCCAACACTAAGGAATCTGAGTCAGAGATATAGAAGTAATTATACTGTGACTACTCAGAAGGGAGATACTGAAGCTCCCACCCAGGGACCTCAATGTCCTCAAATGTCCCACAAAGCAAGTTAAAATTAGATGAAAACATCACTTCCTCCAATTGGATGAGGCCCTGCACAGAGGCTCATGTCCTGGGAACTGAAGAAGTTTAAACTTCAGTCCTCACTCATCCTCCCAACCAGGTACCTTTCTGTGCAGTGAACAAACTGAACAACTGTTCCCAGATGTCCTGGTACCAAATAACCTCGTCTATCATGACTCGCCCAAGGCATCTTTTCTTTTGTTCAGGTTATTTTCCTCCCTGCCTGGGAGGATCCAGGCTTAGTTCTGCATCAGTTTCTTAGCTTTGTTAGGCAGGTAGAACATCCTTGCCCTTTGCCTTACTGAATCACCCTTCACTCTCTCTGTGAACCATATCGCCTGTATTTTCTGACTTCTTCAATTCATTTTGGCCTTTAACTCTTCTGAATTCCTGTGACATTTATGCTTAGTATTGTAGGTCAACTGAACACTTATAGTTTCATATGTTTATTTTGTCTTCTCTGCCAATTTGATATATCCTCAAGAAGCTTCCTCCCTAAATCATTCTCATTGTGATCAGCACACTGTAGGAGCTCAGTAAATATTTCATACTGAATTGAGTGGATTTCCAAACAAATATATAGCTCTAGCACTTAAACAAGTGTCTGGGGACTTCTGCTTTGAACATGATGGATTTAACAGGCATTAGAGTTGCCAGATACAATCCAAGAAGCCCCATTAAATTTGAATTTCAGACATACTTATGCTCTAAGTATGGGCCATCCATACACTAACAAGTACTTGCTGTTGATTTGACATTCAGATTTAACTGAGAGTCTTGTTTTGTTCCACAAAAACTGGTGGCCCTTCCAGGGGTGGATTTACCCTCCTACCTTAAACAACTTAAAAAAGAAAAAAAGAAAAAAAAAACAGAAAAATATATGAAACAATGGTTTTCAGGCATTGGCAAACAGAGGCAGTGTCAGAGAATGATTT